AGCTGGCATCGTTCCCCCACGGCGACAAGCCAACTGGAATAGCTGTGGACACTGAGGGAACGTCTGTGTTTGTTCTCATCAGGTTACATACCGGATCAACAGAGGTACGGCGTTTTGACTACGAAGGTGATCAACAGGAGACTTTTAGGCTTCGATCTCAACTCAGTGTGGTAATTGGTGATCCCGATATCACGGCAATTGGGTTCGGAGATGACAGGTTGTGGTACAATAGAGGTCGCCGTCTCCTTACGATGTCTGGGGCTGATGGGTTTACTACAGAGAACTTCGTCATTCGCATAAACGGCGTTGCAAGTGATATGGAAATCAAGAACGGTCGCGTGTACATCGCTTATCAGCAGAACCAAATGATAGACGTGCTTGAGAAGGGCAGGGACTCAAATTATGGAACTTTGAGCAGACTTAAATATGTTGTAGGACGCGGTGGGCATGGTAGGTCCATTTGTTTGATTGACTGATAGGAGATGTGGAATCTGCTGAGATTTGTCCTGTTTAGGTTTTCCATGCCTAGTTATTTCTTCATCGTTTTTACATGCTATCTGAGGTACGCTTACGAATAAATCTGATATATTTCGTTTCTATGATGTTTTCATCAATGTTCGTTCTTTGTGAACATGGTAATATTTTTCCTCGTGTCTGTGACATTTACTTGAATGTTGACATTCTAAGAGATGGACCGAGTTCAATTGTCAAAACATTAGACTTTAACATTAATAATATTCCCCGCCGTGCGCTTAGTGAGAAGCGGGGGATATACAGTACAACCAGAAATTATTGAGAATTTAAAGATTGTAATTTTTTAATATTTTTTTCACTTATTATTCACGTATTAAATGTGAATATTAGCAGAACATAACTCCAGATTCAAAGACAGGTGAACAGTTAGTATTTTGTCCAGTCACCATGGGCAGCAATGCAGGCTTCAATGCGGCGGGGCATACTACTGATCAAAGAAGTTAGAAAGTCGTGGTCCATGCTGTCCCAATATCGGACCACCTCTTCTTTCATTTCAGCAATATTTGTCAGATTTTTCTTATTGACACTTTCCTTCATAAGTCCCCAAACATTTTCTATTGGATTTAGGTCAGGGCTATAGCTTGGCCAATGTAATAATGTCATATTTTGGGTTCGAAACCAGGCCTGTGAATGCTTTGAACGATTTTTTGGGTCGTTGTCCTACTGGAAAATCCAAACATTTCCATAGAACACGTGAGCAGATGGAAGTAAATGTCCCTCGAGAATATCTGTGTACGGCTCACTGTTCATATTCCCTTCAAATACACTGAGGGGCGTTGCCCCTAACTCAGATATGCCACCCCACACGTTAAATTTCGGACTGCACTTTGGGCGCTGATACAAAGATTTTTCAGGTTGTTTGGTCCAGAATTTCAGTGTATTAGGAAACAGCCACACAGAACTTTCATCTGAGAAAATCACATTGTCCCAGTTAAAAGTTCTATGCTGTAAGCACCAGTTCAACCTTCGCTCCTTTTGTTCAGGTTTCATGATCGGTGATGGAATTCCTCGACTTTTCTACCAACCCATTGCATGCAGCTCAGTTCTAATTGTCTCCTTACAGACAGACACAGTTCCTCTATCAATCATATCCAGCCTTAAGTTTTCTAAACTCTTTCGTTTGTTTTTAGAAACAAGAATACCAAGCCGCCTCCTGTCACCGACAGTCAATTTTCTTGGCCTACATGCGCCTCCCTGGTACTCAGTGCCATATCCATTTGCAATATTTTTCAAAACATGATAAACAGTGGACAAAGGGATGCCTGTTCTACTTGAAATCTCTTTAACTGATCTGATGTCCTTGTTATATTACTCTAAAATCAAGTTCCTCTTCTCTAAATCATCCATACTGAGGATCACAGAAAATGTCGTCTGCTAGCAAGTAAACAAAGGGGGATAACTCTTCACAAACTAATGAAAAGGATTAACGAAGTTGTCTCTCTTGAATGAAACCAAACACTTGATAGCTGGTCAAGGTTGTTTATACTAGAAATCCGATTAAACATATTCCTAAAATTCTCAAAAAAATTCTGGTCATACTATAGTATTAGGCTCCGTCCGTCCGTCCGTACTTCCGCCCGTCCGTCCGTACGAATTGGAATATCTTAAGAACTGTCGACTAGATTCTTTTCATATTTGGTAACTAGGTTCATCACAGTATAAGAAAGGTCCCAGTCAGGTTTGGTGACCTTGACCTTCATTTCAAGGTCACAAGGGGACTTTAACGTTCTACCCTTGTCAGCGAGCTATCAAGAACCATTCGTTGGATTTTCTACATATTCAACACCAAGCTTTACCTAGGAACGGCGCAGGGCCCAGTCGATTTTGGTGACTTCCACTGAATTTTCAAGGTCACGGCGACACTTTGAAGATTTCAGCATGTTAACCAGCCTGTTAAGATTGTCAGCAAGTTATCTCAAGAACCATTCACTGGACTTTCTTCATACTTGACACCAAGCTTCATCTAGGGAATGCGCAAGGTCCAGTCTATTTTGGTGACCTTCAAGTAATTGTCAAGGTCACAGGGACACTTTGAAGATTTCAGCATCTTAAACTGCATGTTAAAATTGTCAGCGAGATATCTCAAGAACAGTTCACTAGATTTTCTCCATGGACTTTCAAGATTTCCCTTGAATGTTTTTCAATAAGCAATTATTACTATTTTTGCATATTTCATACACTTAGACATTCATGTCAAGGTAAACCTCAGTCTTGAAAATATATGTGCGTTTCAACAACTGCAGAACAAGATATAAAGAGAAGTTGACTGGTCATATTTTTGTTGACGTTTAACTTCATCTTAAATTACGACCTTCACTTTCATTACTTTTTAAGTTTGATTTGATAATTTGTGGCTGGGGATTATGTCAATGCTTGTTTTCACAACGTTTGACGTACAGCCGAGCACACTCTATTTACCAGGATGTCAAAGAGTGCCATACCACACTTGCTCAGAAGTTTTTTTTCAAAATTCAAATGTTTCATGTTAGTCATGTTAGGGACGATAAAAAAAAAATTAGATGCTTAGCTTAGGTTAAATAAGTTTCCGCTCTAATGTGCATTAGCTCCAGTGTAAAGTTTCGTCAAATTGCAAACTTAAATGCTAAACATGACCTTATTCTTGAAAAAACAATTACTAAACACCTCGCTCCCCTAGTTATATTAAAGTTTATTGGTTGTTCGGTGACCCATTCCGTAACATGTGGCGGTTGTCGAGTTTGGACCCCACTGACATGCTGAGCATCGACCTACGCCACTGTGATATGGTGGCATGCACTAACCAGTTCAGAGAGCCTCACCACGTGATGCATGGCGTGCACCAATCGATTGATGAAGGCCACTGGCACATTGAACCACACTCAGAGAAAGGCCTGGCGCAATAAATCAGCTGTGTTCGGCCTTGGTATGACATTATTCAGTCTCCTCTGTATTTCATCCCCAAGATGTTTAATTGCGTATAAATCAGGACTAAGGGCTGGCCACTGCATAATGTTGAAATGTCATGCTGTAGGAAGTCCCGTGTAGCCATGGCAGTATGGGCCCGGGCGTTATCATGCTGGACGTGCGGTGACGTGCGAAATGTGGTATGACATTGGGTCTTGGTCGATGTAGCGCACCGCTGTGATGCCGCCTCCTCACCCTGGACCAAGATTCTGGAACACCACAGGACCCACTCTCTGGTTGAGGCCTATTCCACACCGTACCATGATGCTTGCACCTCCCCATGAGTCTCTTTCCATAACACATTGATCTGAGTAACGCTGGCCACGTCGTCGCCATATTCTTGTTCTGCCATCTGCAGTTGATACCCAGTACCGACTCTCATCTGTGAACAGAACAGTTCTCCATTGCCTGTATCGCCAGTTTTGGTGTTGTAGTGCAAACTGTAGACGTTCACGACGATGACGAGGGGTCAGGATAGGTCTACGGCAATGGAGGTTCCTGCTGTTAAGACGTCGGCGTAATGTATCAGTACTGATTGGTCTTCCGTGTGTTCCCACTGTCTGGCGTGCTGTTTCGGATGCCTGCATGAAGCGATTCTGTACATGCCGTCGCACAACATGGCAGTCTTGTCGTCTTGTGGTCACCCTTGGTCTGCCAGTACGGGGGCGATCATTTGTGGTGTTGGTGGCCCGGAGACGTTGCTGGAGCCTGTAGATGGTCCGAACGTCTCCCTAGCGCCTGGTTCCTCTGAGTTGTCGTGAGTCGCGGCATCCTGCTGACGTTGTAATGTGTATGTTTCATCCAGGTTTGGGGATGCATTTTATAGGGCTGGTCCTTGTGAACAGCACGTGCAGCATTAGTTGCATGAAAAACATGGAGAACACCGTACCGTCTCCAAGATCAGGTTTTTGAGGTTCAGAATTTTGAGACCTCTTCCTGGGTTCCAGTCTTAGTTTGGGAAGGAATATCTTTGCTCAGGTAAAGTTGGAGATGTTGTCAAAAATGTACAATCAAAACATTAAATGAGTTTACAGTTATCCGTTTCTGCGACGGAAAATACCAAACTGACGTTTCTTTTGCTGCTTAGTATACTAATGTTTGGTTTTGATCCTGTTATGACCTAAACTAAACGTGTCCCTGTGACTATTGATAACATGACTTGTTTTACTGTTCGTATAACCGTGACACAGTTCGTTCACCGTGACATCGTAGCCACAGATATCAAGCATGTATATACATGTAATTCAATTCCCTCGTATGTTTGGAGCCCATGAAGAGCCGGGTTAGTAAGGGGAGACTAACGGGATCGGGTGGCTTTCACGTGTCATCGTATCCCAGTTGCGTTGGTCGATGCATATGATGCTGATCACTGGATTGGCTGGTCCAGACTCGATCATTTACAGATCACTGCCATATAGATGGAATATTGCTGATTCGGCGTTAAACAAGAAACCGACCAACTTCATATGTTTTGAAGGCAGCCTCGCAAGGGCCACGAGCAGTTCTAAATATATAAGCAAATGTAAGAGGTAAAAAGGTGAAAGTTTATTTTCAGAAACAGTTTCAAGGAGGAATGCAATAAAACAAAATAATAAATACTTATGTGAGTTATGTACTTGTACATGAACGTAAACATTGACCCTTTTCTATATCCATATTAAATCTACAACTGTATCGCCTGATCCCGCCAATATTTTGAGGACAAATCAGTATTACCTGGTGGTGGCACAATGTTCGCTAGAAAATATCCTGACCTCTAGGTGGCACTCGTACCAAACACATGCAAGCGCAAGTGAAGTGTTCACCTGCAGCACAAACACGGGAACACATTACGTCAAAATAGGAACAATCGATTGCATAATCATGGAGACGAATGAGTCAAGAAACTAAGTACTTGTAATGTTAATGTTAACAACAGCGCTAAGTCAGCTTTGTCTGACTATATCACATGCATGTGTTTGTGAATAACTATCAAAATAGTAATGAAGACGGGTGTCCGCGACAAGGTGTATGTTAAGTACATTCAAACAACTTCCTATAAAATGCGAATTCTAATCAAAATTCATCTCAATATAATTTGACCTTGTCGCTTGTCTCTATATTTAAACACATCTGTTAAGCTATTTCATATTTATCACGATGCGCCATTTTGATGCTGGATGGGTGTTCAAGGTGAACCGCTTAACATGGTCATGGTGCCGACGGATCAAACATCAACATTCATGTGGAAACGTCCATGACCTGTGATGAAAAGTGTTCCAGCTATATCATGGCGACCAAGGATCATCCCCAATACTTGAGGAACAGAACTACCGAGCCAGTTTCACTCTCCACTTGAGGCCGACATGCGGATGTGATCCTGCAGGTGCCCGTGTTGCTGATGCTGTACAGCACGCAGGTCTGACGCGATGCACACAGCTCGGCGCAGCTCCCGGAAGTTGCCGAATAGAGTTCCTCGACATCGGGGTTACTCGCGGACAGTGTTGTGTCTTTGGCTGCTTTTTCGAAAACCATCCCTAGATTTTCTGAATCAGGTCGTCGTGAGTTGTAACAATTGTCAAAGAGCTTTTTGTCATCTGCTTCGCCTCTCTGTTGTGTAACAGAGGTTTCAACAGCTGTTGCGGGGTCATCTGTCTGCGTTGTCGTAGCTGTAATAGTTGTTGCTGTTGCGGGGTCATCTGTCTGCGTTGTCGTAGCTGCAATAGTTGTTGCTGTTGCGGGGTCATCTGTCTGTGTTGTAGTAGCTGCAATAGTTGTTGCTGTTGCGGGGTCATCTGTCTGCGTTGTCATAGCTGCAATAGTTGTTGCTGTTGCGGGGTCATCTGTCTGTGTAGTAGTAGCTGCAATAGTTGTTGCTGTTGAGAGGTTAACTGTCTGTGTTGCAGTAGCTGCAGTAGCTGCAATAGTTGTTGCTGTTGAGAGGTCAACAGTCTGTGTTGCAGTAGCTGCAATAGTTGTTGCTGTTGAGAGGTCATCTGCCTGTGTTGCAGTAGCTGCAATAGTTGTTGCTTTTGAGAGGTCAACTGTCTGTGTTGCAGTAGCTGCAATAGTTGTTGCTGTTGAGAGGTCAACTGTCTGTGTTGCAGTAGCTGCAATAGTTGTTGCTGTTGCGGGGTCATCTGCCTGTGTTGTAGTAGCTGCAATAGTTGTTGCTATTGCGGGGTCATCTGTCTGTGTTGTCGTAGCTGCAATAGTTGTTGCTGTTGCGGGGTCATCTGTCTGTGTTGTAGTAGCTGCAATAGTTGCTGCTGTTGCGGGGTCATCTGTCTGTGTTGTAGTAGCTGCAATAGTTGTTGCTGTTGAGAGGTTAACTGTCTGTGTTGCAGTAGCTGCAATAGTTGTTGCTGTTGAGAGGTCAACAGTCTGTGTTGCAGTAGCTGCAATAGTTGTTGCTGTTGAGAGGTCATCTGCCTGTGTTGCAGTAGCTGCAATAGTTGTTGCTTTTGAGAGGTCAACTGTCTGTGTTGCAGTAGCTGCAATAGTTGTTGCTGTTGAGAGGTCAACTGTCTGTGTTGCAGTAGCTGCAATAGTTGTTGCTGTTGAGAGGTCAACTGTCTGTGTTGCAGTAGCTGCAATAGTTGTTGCTGTTGCGGGGTCATCTGCCTGTGTTGTAGTAGCTGCAATAGTTGTTGCTATTGCCGGGTCATCTGTCTGTGTTGTCGTAGCTGCAATAGTTGTTGCTGTTGCGGGGTCATCTGTCTGTGTTGCAGTAGCTGCAATAGTTGTTGCTGTTGAGAGGTAAACTGATGTAATTAAACACTTTGAAAAGTCATGTTATACAATTTAATAGAATGGTTGCACTGGCACGGAAGAAAGATGAAATACTACCATATACGAATCACATAAAAACAGCATATGATTACAGGAAGTTTCATTCATTTTCTAGGACAATGACGTCTAGTGTTTGATATCAGCATAGCTTAATATAAAGGCGTGTCGTAGAGGTTTATCTTTAAAACCCAGAGCATTCCTATCTCCTGTTATGTCATCGCTTTACACACCACAGGAGCCGGAGCTGTAGTCTAAAGACATAATTCAGGAAAGCCAACAGAAGTGACTTCTTCCATGAGGCCCACTTAGTTGCTTTTGTGGCAAGAAGGCCTTTTAACATATAGACATATATAGTTAATTTAATGAACGGCTGACATGAGAATACATCGTTAGACCAGCAGTGACTGCCCTGAAGATAAACAAGTCCGGTAACTACGTATATTTTGGAGAGAATAAGTTCTTTTCACCTTAAATCATCACCTTCGAATGAACACTAACATCTTCAAAAACTTTCAATTAATATGTTACCGTGACTATGCTATTGTTTGTGCTATTGTGATTAGGATGATCGTCTGTTTGTATCTGTGTGGATACCGGGGTTACATCTGTATCTCCTGAAGATAAAACTTAAATCTAGGCAACAATCTTCATAAATCGCAACCCGTGAAGATCCAGGTTAGAATTGTTCTTTATGAACCCATGCTTGTCGTAAGAGGCGACTAACGGGATCGGGTGGTTAGGCTCGCTGATTTGGTTGGCACATGTCATCGTACGTATATCGATGCCGATGTTGTTGATCACTGGATTGTGTGGTCCAGACTCGATTATTTACAGACCGCCGCCATATAGCTGGAGTACTGCTGAGTGCGGCGCTAATCAACAAACTTATAAAAATCCTAAATCGCAGTTCAGAAACAGAAAACGTTGATATCACAGAAAACGTTGGTCAACTCACCTCTTACCACGATACCAATGTCCAGGAACATAAGGCACAACCAGAACGGGGCATGCATATTTGGGGACATAGCCAGTGTTCTACTTCTCACAAGACAGTCACTTGTGTGTGAGTTTGGAACCACGTCGTCAATGTCCCATAATTCCGATCAAGTGTCCCATGGCAACAATCATCCATACATGATGTGCGTTTGTATCCCACGAATCGCTGTCACGCTGACTTCATGATTTACATCTTTTCCCGCGAGGGTAAATATTTCAGGATTGTATTACATGTCTATCGTCATCTGATAAGGATACTTCTAATGACTTGCCTATCCCAAAGTTGACATTGACAGTACATGCATTGTAACCTGCAAGGCTTATTTCATTTTTTGATACTTAAGGCAAAGTTGAAGTCGCACTTGTTCCTTGTTACTGACCGATAATCTACACGTAAATTTATGATTGATCTTTTGAAACATTTAACAGTTTTTCTTCCAGGTTGATTGTATTGTGGGTATTAACGCGACAATCTCTTAATGACGACATGTGTCACACTTATGTATTAGATGAAGACTAGGAACTGTCTGAATGATATCCTTTGCCATATTAGATGTTTTCCGAATCTGTCAAATCCAAGTGGAACAAAGGTCCGCCATAGACTACCAGGCAGATCATAAAAAATGTGATCAAACATGAGCTGAAACTAGTCGCCCGAACACTGCAGACACCTCTTGTCCAAGACCAGCATCAATATTAACCCCTCTCTATTGTGTCATCTTTAGACAGCATTACACATGGATGTATGCTTTCCGGCGTCTATTTGAAGAGGGTCGACCCGACTTTCCAATGGTTCCCAAAAACAATTCCTACAAACAAGAGATGAGAACATGACAACATATTCGCTTGTTAAAGTACCCGTGATGCGTACACTCAGACCAAGCTCTGTAGGGTGTGAGATGATCTCTTGTTTCGGTTCAAACACTGGAATGTCTGGCACATTTCTTTTGTTCCAATTCTTTCTGCTACAAACACATGGCGCATGGGCGTTCAGTATGCCATTGTATAGGCTACGTTTTGCTTCCGGTTCAACATAGGTGTTATTGTGAGCACCTCATGGGTTAACACTCATTTTGCCAGTGTCAGGCTATTGTCAGAAACTGGTACGTTGTCTGACAATAACGCGCCAGTTACGGTTTCACCGGTTCAAAAACCCGAATAAAATACTTACAAAGCGTCCATTCAGTTGTATGTTGTATGTGTGTGCTTGTGTGTGTGAGAAATAAAAGAGAGTGCTTGTGTGAAAGAGAGAGAGAGAGTGTGTTTGTGCATGTGTATGTATGTATGCGTGCGTGCATGCATGCATGCATGCGGGCGGTGTGTGTGTGTGTGTATGTATGTATGTGTGTATGTATGTATGTGCGTGCGTGCGTGCATGCATGCATGTATGTATGTATGTGTATGCATGTAAGTGTGTATGTATGTATGTATGTATGTATGTATGTGTGTATGCATGCATGTATGTATGTATGTATGTATGTATGTATGTATGTATGTATGTATGTATGTATGTATGTATGTATGTATGTATGTATGTATGTATGTATGTATGTATGTATGTATGTATGTATGTATGTATGTATGTATGTATGTGTGTATGTATGTATGTGTGTATGTGTGTATGTGTGTATGTGTGTGTATGTGTGTGTATGTATGTATGTATGTATGTATGTATGTATGTATGTGTATGTATGTATATATGTATGCGTGCGTGCGTGCGTGCGTGCGTATGTATGAATGTATGTATGTATGTATGTATGTATGTTTGTATGTATGTGTGTATGTATGTTTGTATGTATGTGTGTGTATGTATGCATGTATGTGTGTATGTGTGTATGTATGCATGTATGTATGTATATGTGTGTATGTATGTATGTATGCATGCATGCATGCATGTATGTATGCGTGTGTATGTATGTATGCATGCATGTATGTATGTATGTATCTATGTATTTATGTATGTGTGTGTATGCATGCATGTATGTATGTAGGTAGGTAGGTATTTATGTAGGTATTTAGCTATGTAGCTATGTATGTATGCATGTGTGTATGTATGCATGTAAGTATGTATGTATGCATGCATGTATGCATGTATGTATGCATGTATGTATGTGTGTGTGTGTTAATGTATGTATGTGTGTGTGTGGTTATTTGATAAGTGTATGTATGTATGTGTGTGTGTATGTGTGTGTGTGTGTGTGTGTGTGTGTGTGTCTGTCTGTCTGTATGCATGCATGCATGCATGTATGTATGATTGATGGGTATCCAACTACCCCTGTAGTTTCTACGACTATAACAATTCATCAGGTACTGCAGAATCATCACATACAAGGCATGACACACTTTAGCGTCACCTTTCGTCACACGTTGAAGGTGACCCGCTACGCTTATCACATTACATATTGCAACATCTGACATACATTCTACCTGGACGTTATATCAGATGTTGTAGCAGTGCGTTACTGTCCTGGGAAGCCTGTGTGTTGAACCTGTAACCCGTCCTGGAGGTTTGTACCCTGATGAATGTGTGTTGCTCTTGGCGTATTGCTTGAGATTGCTTATATATATATACATGCATGTTCCATAGCCTATCGTAGTGTCTTGGGTATGTAGGTATCGGACAAGACTGTTGTTTCCTGTGAGACTGCGATAACACTTTGTCTGTTGCTTGTGCAATGGCGATGTCAGAAAACAGGACAGGTGAGGTAATATGGGGTGTAGCGTTTCGTTAAAGATTATTGCGCATACATTGGCACGTGCATGCGTCTGTATCTCGTCCGACCTAGAGCGGTCACTACACACGGAAGGTGTCGTGTAGCGGATATGTCCACGGGACATGTAGGGGGTGGAGCAAAGTTTGTTTCCACCACCCAAGGAGCGGAATGTGTTGCAGACACAGTACCCCGGATCCAGTGCCCCGCACGCACGCGCGCACACACACATAACTCACTGAAAATCTGAATGCGACATCAGTGATATGTAACTGAAATACTATCAACATGACAGTCATGTCCCTTGATGAAATCATGTTTCTTCAAACCCACCATACTCATGTATAATAAAACATGTTGCCTCCAGCAAAGCTACGCTTCTGTAAACTTTGTCAAGTATGACATTCCTGTAAGTGCTATGTGATTTCCTCTCGGGAGTTTCTTGTTGCCTCATTGCAGTGGATATACCAACCCCATGGGTGTATCCGACCGTATACATGTTTATGACTGGTATAGTCTAAATCTTCGAACTACTAGAACATGAATAATAAATGAGGGAACCAGTTCCTTTGCGTGATGATCTCTTCTATGCCACAAACCCGTTAAATAATGATTGCTTGAAAAAATAATGAAAAGCGACAAAACCCTTTCAAAATCCCAATAAATCGCAACAGCTGCTGCGTCCCCTCCACAGTTGCGACTGTCATGAGCGTGTCTACTTATGAATCACTATTGTACGTTTTGTCCAATGGTATACGTAAAGTTGTAGGTATTCCTTGGAGACAATAGCTTTTTGTTCTCCGAAGTTCAAATATCTGTGTATATTCTCATTTGCTAACAATTACAGACTGCATACATACATACATACATAAACACACACACACACACACACACACACACACACACACACACACTCACACACGCACGCACGCACGCACACACACATAAATACATGCATGCATACATACATACATACATACATACATACATACATACATACATACATACATACGCACGCACGCACGCACGCACGCACACACGCATACATACATACATACATACACACGAACACACCCACGCACAAGAACACACACGGACGTACGCGCATGCAGACATACATAGTTACAGGCAGACAGACAGGCATGAGTGGAAGTCACAGTTGTGACTATGTCACTTAACTACGGTGGATGCATGCAGTGGGATCAGTATAAATATTCACTCTTAGTTGGTGGGACTGGTATCTTTACTATTTTGAAACCGGTTTCATAAAGACGTTGCGGAAGAATTTTGTTCTGACGTACACTTTTGCAAGACGTCACACTGTATTGACGTCACTACGCCATTTCTCGTCTGTCCCCTTGGTAACCGACGTCACGATGCATGTCAGTTGTCATCGCCTCTCGTACAGCCTCCTTCAGTAAACTACTCCGTAGCACCCGTTTCTGGGTTTGCAACTGCTTCACTCGGCTAACATCACTGGTGGAAACATTGCGTTTATGTTTTTCGACGGATATAATGTCTCAGTTCGACTCACAATTAAACAGCGACACGGCAACGTTCGCAATGTTTACATTCCCACAATGCATCTAAGTTGTAGAATGAATGAATTCACGTGTTTGTTATGAATAAACAAGTAGTTCCGTCACAACGTGACCTAACTGAGAGGTCATCGGTTATCCAATCAAATCGTTAGAATCTCAGGTCAAGTCGTGACGTACGAGATTAGTATGCAACTACCCATACGTTGACCACGTGGGTAATAAAGTGTAGTTATTATATAGAGTATATAGCGTTGCTAGTTTTAGTATTATGTTTACATAAAATACACAAGGGTGACTCTCGCGATGCTAAAAAATTTTTTTAATGTGCTGTTCAATCAAACCTTACGTTACACGATATAAACCGTTAGTTTATATCATAGTCATGTGATTTTCTTTATCCAGTAGAAAACACGTAGATGGTCTGATGTGTTATCAGCTCCTCGGTAACATCACGCAGATGTTGCCATACCACAACTATTGTTATACTGTTTTAGGATTAATGCTTATGATCAATGCTTAGATATGGATGCTATACTAAATTAATCAAATAATAAAGATATTCTTCTTTATCATTATTACAGTTTTGAAAGCACATACATTGTTAAAAGTACATGGTTGAATGAATCAGTTATGTTTTTCAAATGTATTAGATCTATTTATTATTAATTATATAATGTGGTAAACAACAATTTTCTAGTTACTATTACTGGGCGTTCAGTTTATTTCCAGCATACATCAGGAGAAAGACTACCGAAGAGACTTACG